TTAGTCAAGTGGATACTTCGTTTAGAAAAACATGTGATTTACCTCCACAAATGGCACACCCGTGCTGTCTCCACTGACGCAATCCTGCAAATTTTACACCCGCGTGGAGGTATATTTTGGGAAGAACAAGAAATTTAGACGTTTTCTTTCTTCGAGGAAGGAATTTTTAAGAAATCAATTCCTGACTAAGAAAGATAACTCTTAAGTTAAGAATATACACAAAATATATATATATATATATATATATATATTATTTTTTTTTTTTAAATGCGTAGTAATACTTTTCATTACGATTAGGAGTGTTTTTGTTTTTTTAATGATGATTTTTTTTTTAAATCAAAAATTTGAATTTCATTTCTTTTCTGAATTAAGACTTCCCTCACAGATATAATGTTATTTTGCACAAGGTTAAATCGTGCAGGCGTAGTCGTGTGGATACTTCGTTTAAATGAAACATTTGACTTACCTTCAAAACCGACGGGAGACCGTTTGTTTCCACTGACGCTTCCCTGCACTTTTGCACCCGCTCAGATGCCAACATTTTCTACAATCCATCGTATCATTAAAAAAATAAAGCATTTTGCAGAATTATTTGAAAATGTGTCGTGGAATGTAAACAAATCAAGAAAGATAACTTCTTGTAAATCTCTCCGACGATCAAGACTGTCACTTCATGTGTCTTCTTTCCAATTTTTATTCTATAATTGCCCATTTGAAATATTTTTCAGACTTTGTGTTGTATACGATTTGTGTACGAATTATGATTGGAATTTTCGATAAGTATTGTATATTTTTTCGTTAGTCATTTGCATTGTTTATTTTCTCTATGTATTCTATATTAATTAACTGACAATTATCCACTTGTATTATATATTTGTTATTCATATTGTATAACTTCCACTTTTTTATGAATAATCAGCGTGCCATTCTGTATCTATTACAACCCCCGCCCCCTCCTTTCTTTTCTTGCCCCCCCTTTTTCTTATTGCCATGCATTTTTGTATTGTTTATTTGTTTTTGTACATCACGTGTATATGTATTATATGTCATTTTGTTTGTGTTGGAGAGGACAATCTAAGTTGGTAAAACTTGTATCCAATCCTATTGATTATTTTCAATAAAATATATTTAAATAAAAAAAATAAAACTTCCAGCTGTAGTGTATGAAAAACCATTTGTATTCTTAAGTTTCAAATTGTATTGTTTGAGAATTCCATGGAATATGCTTTTAATATCCTATATATGTAATTCTAATTTATATAATTATTTGCACATTTGAGAAGAAAAGCAGATTTACAAAACCACAAAACATGCAAGTCCGTGTGCAATTTCTCAAACCATCGAAACCTGGGGGGGGGGGGATAAAAACACTTGTTAATCTGTTTAAATTAATCATGGTATAATGCTGTAGATGTAGTATTTGAACCATTAGATGCTGGTTGCCCCCCTTCCCCCCTTTCTGATTTTGTAAGCGGGTCGAGCACTGGCAAATTCGAGGATTTGGACAGGTTTGTTTGTTTGTTTGTTTGTTTGTTTTTGTTTTGTTTTTGTTTTTTTGGCTTGTCAGAAAATTTTGGGAAGTTCCCCCCCCCCCTTTGTGTGATCAGTTTTTTTTTTGTTTTGTTTTTTGGCTTGTTAATTTTTTGGGGGGTGGGTGGGGGGGTAGTTGCCCCCCCCACTTTTGAAACCGTTGCTACGGGCCCGTTATCAATAACATGACCATCAAAAATGTCGTCATTTATACCTTCTTCTTAAAGCAACAAGAGTTGAAGGACGATTTTTTTTTAAGACTGAATGGCTCAAAATTCAAGTGCCGTGTTTCACTTCGTAGACGAAACGGGTACTCATAATTGTACGTACATGTATGTACTACTAGTATTTATTCAGATTTTATACATTGTCTATTTCATTTGACATAGAAGTTGAAATTGAAATACTTTTTCAAACATCTTGAACAACTACTTTTGTTTCCAACTGAAGTTTTCTGATTTGTATTTACCTAAGTCCATGGGTTACAGTGCTTATTATTTTGTACTGATTTTTGTTCTGATATTTAAAATTTTGCTTTGCATAAGATATAAATGGGCATTACTGTGTATATTGGTATAAATTATTATAAATAAATATTGTACACAAATGTATGGTATGATATATTTCATTTTGCTTTGATTTTTGTGTCAGTGCTAATTATGAATTTTTCAATAATTACTGCTCCGTGAAAATCAATCGTCGTATAAGGTCACCATTTTCATGTGAATATTCCCATGCGATCTTGCGACTTGTGATTTAATCAATGAAACATACTATGGATCTTTCCTTTCAGTGGTCCAACCTTGCTCCTTTTAAATTCTTGATTTTAAATACCCAGTGATTATGCAGGCGTAGTCGTGTGGATACTTCGTGTATAAAAATAATAAAACTTGGAAAAAAAACTGCGGGTAACCGCTCGTTTCCACTGACGCAAACCTGCATTTTTGCATCGGCATTGATATTGCAAAATGATTTAATTGTTTAATCAATGGATATCTATATATGTGTGTATAATATAGAAAAGAAAAGATCTCATTTTGTCAGACTTAAATTTCTCTCCGTTATCTTAACAGCCAATTGTTTTATCCCCGTGTGTGTGTGCGTGTGTGTGGGAAGGGGGGGGGGTGTTATATACAAATTGATAAACCGCATGTTTACACTACGTCTTTTGCTTGGATTTGTCCTTACAATCTGGACTGTTTTGTTCTTTTAATACTCTGGGGAAAAACTTTGGGATCTATTTTTTATCAAATATTTTAATCGGAAAAATTAACAAAATATGTTACTTTTAATAGGCAACCACTCATTATAAAAAAATGTTAGCAGGGGTTTATCTAATTACATGTACCTTAAATCAACTCTTGATAACATTCTTGTAATCTTGTAATGTGGTTACATTCTAAAAGTTACATATTTTGTTAATTTTTTTCGATTAAAAAATTATTGGCAAAAAATGAGAGAGAAATATGAATGATAAAAAATTATTTTTTCAACACTATTTCAAATGTTTCTTTTAAAATAATTAAATATTGTATTTTATAAATGAAATTTTTAAAACTTAACAATATAAATTTTATCATGTGTTTTATGCAAACTACAAATAACAGTAATGAAATTCTCTTTGTCTGGACTAGATGTGATCCTGTTAAACAATTATTTTATAGCTTCATGTTTTACAGTGAATTACATGTGATATTCACACAACATTAATTCCAACATGGCACGAGGTCACAGAATGATTGAAAAGTAAATTTTCAAAAAACAAAATCTTCTTCCCTCACACTCCAGGAGACATCGTTTCTCACTTCTTTAAACGTTCCTGGTTCCTAGCAATCTCACATTTCCCTGCGATAATTATTCCTAATGGTGATCAATTTTCCTATTGAAGATGGTCACAGAAGAATTCACTCATAATAAACAAGGAGGGACGGGGGACTTTAAAGCGAGTTTAAATCATTTTTATTTCCAACGGGTTTTTCCAAAACTTTTTTTTTTCAAAAATAGAGTATATATATTTGGCAAGATTTCAATATTATCCAGCATTGTATAAATTACCTAAATAAATATATTTACGTATTCAGTTTAAATATACGCTAGACCGGCGAGAGGCCTAGGGTTTTCCCGTCCCGTTACCTGGTTGATATAAATAGAAATTTAAGCCAGGTATTGGATTAAAACGAGGAAGTTTTATTCTTAAGAGCTAGATTTCTAAACAAAACAGACAGAATACTATTTATGTTCGCTCTGAACGGATGTGTATTGACAGTTAAATAAATAAGTAAATATAAGGATTGACCGGTCAAGACGAAAAAATAGATTCAACTGTGAATAAAGGTAAGTCTTTGTTATTAGAATGCAGGGTAATTAATTCATTTGATTTTTTAAGGGTATTCAAAGCTTGCTAAACGTATACTTGGCAACTTCAAACCTGTAATTTTAATGTTCATTCACATATCTCTATTACATATGCATGTATTAATGAAAGAATTCCTGGGAGCATGGAACAATGTCATTGTTTTCATTAGCCCCCCTTTTTTTCCCCAAGTCCTCCTCCATCTTCCCAAACCTTGAAAAAAAAACACTATAATACCAATATGGTAACATTTCTGCAAAAATACTCAGGAAGGATTAAATTTTTGTGCTTCAATATTTTTGATCTTTATAAATCGTCTGATTTTGGGGGTTTAAATCAACTTGTCTTGCGTTCTTCAGAATAATTAACACAAATATTTTATTTATCTTTCATTCACGTAACTGTTGATTTAATATAAAGAGATAAATACGCATTGAACCAAACCTTTCCCCCATTGTGTCTACTAGCATGTAAAAGATATATCATTCTTTAAGAATTTAAAACTACATTAACGAAATCCAGATCAATAAGAGATAAATTCACCGAAGCGAGAAACCGTGACCGTCAAACGTTTGGTCAGAGGGGGTCGTAAATGACCACAATCATCCAGCATGTAATAATATTGTAGTGCGATCTCGTAGATAAAAATAAATATTAATGGAGTTGTCTGTGAACAGTCATAATATAACGAGGTACTTAGGTGGAAGGATGCGTAAGAGGGATGGGACTTACACATTGTTTAGGAAGTAGCATAACTCGCAATGAGTCCTTATTGTTAGGAGTCTCGCTAAGTATGTTACATACTACTTTACACGTGTACATCTTTAATTATGTATTATTTAGATAGGTGTGTGTGGACCAGATAGAAGCTTTGCGTGTCAAACTAGCTCAAAGCTTTAATGTTATCAAGAGGTACTTTGAAAAACTTCCCCCTAGTTGATTTAATTATCAATAGACCCCTTTACAATTTGCTGGATCTTGCTCGCTTGAATTTCCTGCAGAGCAGGAATTATTTCAGTATTTTGAATGTATATGTGTATATATATTTTTTCTCTACGTTATAGATGAATCATTGTTGTGTCACGAGGAGATAGATGTGTATGTAAAATGTGATTCAATTTTTTGGATTTATGTATTATTCTTACTAGATATGCACCATGATTGAAGCGGTGGCTCTGTATTTTGTGTCGGAAGACTGCGGTCCATGGGCAAACTTTCTAAAGACGAAATTGGGAGAAAAAGCATACGACATTCGTGTTCAAGACATAGAGGCCTCTAGTGTGTCAGAAAGTCGAGAAAACTACAAAGCTAACATAATCTTGGTGAGCCCAGCTTTTCTGGAACTGCCAACTTATGAACACTATTGCTCGTTTCCCATCAAACAATCATTGGTTGTGTTGCTTGGAGTAGAATACCAAGAATTTGAAGAATTAGCAACATCAAAAGGAGCTGAAAACATCTTAGGATTTCCTTTATTTGAAACCGAGGCAAACGAGAGTTCGGTGAGATGTCTTTTGGTGGAAATTATAGATCTCTATGAAAGAAATGTTGCTCTTGAGGAACTTGTACAGCCCCATCCAATCCCTGGTCATTTGTCAAAGACAAGGGAGAGTGACAATAGTTTTGACAGTGAATACGATCCATATGATTTCCCTCCAGCCCCCAGACCTCTTCCTGAATATATTGAATCACCTACATCGAACGAGCTGCAGAAGTTCATCTATAGCGAAAAGGTAAATCATATACGTGTAATTACATAGAGTTAGTAGGTTATGTCTTAGTTAATGCGAAGAAACCGATCTACACTGAAAATAAGATGACTTAAGCTTTATTTTAATGATCTAATTTCGTTGTTGGGTTGTGGTGGACCCAACATTTACTTCAATCGTTAAGCCAACATGTTCGTCGAAAGTTGGAAGGATTGCAATTGAAGTGTTAGAAGCAAATTGTGGTGTACAACGTTTGCCCAGCTTCTTTAGGCTGATACATATATGCATGATATTGATGACAAGACAAGCTTATGTGCTTTTTCTAAATGCACAATGACAGACACCTTTTACAAAGAGTTACTTTTATATGACAGAGTCAACACTTGTAATAACCTCTTGCACAATATAAATGAGTGAAATTTTTATACTAATTAGTAAGTGTATTTAATTATATTATTATCCGTTGCTTGTGAATCGATTAAAGTTAATTCGTTTTCTTTTTTTACCTGAAGGACAGCAAAATCTATCTCCTTATGGAAAGAAAAGACGAGGAAAATATTTTGATACAAGACGAAAATAGACCAGATACCTGTGTTCAATGCAAATACCTTGGCAAAGCTTTGTATGAAGCTTCCTTAACAGGTACAGCCAATTGACATTTTACTTGATCAACATCTAAGGTATTTGTGCAACAGAAAACAAACATGCCCAGGTAAACAGCATAATTATCTAATTAAAACAAGAGCAGCATTTCAACAAACGAGGAAGAGAAGAAAAAAGATGAAAATGTATTGGAGGAATGTGAAAAGTTATCTTTAAACTAGAATTAACCTGTATTTGACACTGGCAAATACTTTCTGTATTGGGTTTCTCTTGCACTAAGTTTAAGCTGGTACTGAAATCTAATAATGGATGTCACATTATAACCTTTCATGCCCAGCTGAAAATGACCGAATCGGGTTGAAGGGGTTTATTCATGATGAACAATACAAACCTTTATTTTTTCTTATCGTCTTTTCTTCCCCTCAAATACTTCCGCATTGAGTCAGCCCCCGTGGAAGTTACTAAAAATTCACGAGGTCACACCGATAGATGTCAAAACAATGGTATTATGTACGTAAGAAATGAACAAGTTTAAAAGAACATTGTGTGCAATTTTGATAAAGGAGACTGAAACCCTTTATATTTATTCGCCTTTTTCTACTTTTGACTTCGATAATTCAATGATGTCAACATTTTACGCTTACTCTTCTCTGTGGAAAACTTTGCGCTCTACTGACTGAAAGATGATATTCGACATTGAATAAAGTGTTGTTTATTTTAGAATCACACATTCAACAATGAACTATACCGCCAAGAATTAAAATAGGTTTAACTTACTATTAAATTCTGTATGATGCAAGTTGAAACTTGATATAATCCACAAAATATACAGGGTTTCTTTGAGAAATTTGAAAAAAATAATAAACTTCACTGCCCAAATTTCGTGATCTAAACTGCTTTTAAAAAGATCATCTGAAAATTTTCAAGTATTAATGATGATTTTCTTTTTTTCTTCCAAATGTAGATGATTTCGATAGAACACATGGGCTAAAAATAGTCACAACAAAGAGGAGAAATGTAGAGACAATTCGAATCGAACCATCATCTGAACCAGCACCACGTGATAAACTTTCTCAAATTCAGCAGTTGCTCAATGAAGAGTTAGAACCGCTAACAGTTCTATGCAAAGCTCTAAGACTGCCGGAAGTGTCACATTCTTGTCTCGACACGTTTCTGGCGGAAAAGTGTTCAAACTTCAAAATGTTTGACACACTTCAGAGTTTGTCTTTAGGAGAAAACCTCAATGAAAAACGTAAGAATATTCATTTTTATGTCAAAAATTGAACGAAGTTAATTATTAATAAAAAAAAATTGTTGGGTTTTTTTCTCCCTTAACCTTCTTTGATGCTTTCCTTCGAATTGAATATTGACATTTTAGGTATTATGTTAATTGCAGATTTGGAAGGAAGTAATTGGCCCACGTTGCTGCATTTTGGTGCTGAATTTGGACTTAGTTTGTTTTGTGATGAACTTCTACGGGTTCCTGGAATGGACAAATTTTGTCACGTTACCAATGCTCAGGACGAGGCACCTGGTCAGTTGGCTCGAAATCGCGGCTTCCTACAATTAGCTGAAAAACTGGACATGCTTACCGTAACCCAAAGAGACAAGCGTTAGTGCCTGCTAAAAATAACTTGCTGTCATTTCAAAGCTTTTTTAAATGCTGAAATTAATCACTTACAAAATGACAGTCATATATTGGAAGGATAGAGTGTGATCAATTTTTATTTCTTTGTTTTGTAGGAAACCCTCCAGCAAATAAGGATAGCGGTATAAGTGACATGCATACTTCCGCCTATAGTCAAGTATCTGACACAAGCTCGTGTGAGTGATCAATATATTCAATCAGTTATCAAATTTTTGTAAATGTGATTTTTGTTGAAAACATTCCAATATTTTTGTTGAATTTTTAATTAGATGCTCCCTCACACAGAGCAGTCGATAGTTTATTGGAGGACGAAACATATCAAATGCCTCCTCCAACACCCCACCAACATCCACAACAATATTACATAAATTCTAACCCGATATCGCCATCGAAAACAGACAGTACCCAAACATCAGAAGAATCCCCACCCCCTCCTCCCCCAAAGATTAAAAGTTCGCCGTTGCCTTGTCGACCTCCACCTGCCACAGAAAGAATTTCTATGGACTCTAGGATCTCCATTGACTCGAGGTCTTCCATGGATTCAAGAACTACCATAGATTCAGTAACCACCATAGATTCAAGCACCACCTTAGATTCATCGAGCATATCACGAAATTCCATTCAATCTTGCTCGTCTTCCGGAAGTGATGCTACAATAGCAGACTATGTCGACATGACTTCAACTTCGTCTTCTTACATGGACATGAAATCAGTGCAAAGAACCAACAGTAAAACACTGTCGAAACCTCCTGCAGTTCTCCCCAAGCCGAGTTCGTCTGATTCCAGTTCTGGGTACGCCGTTACATCCGATGAATCCTCAGATAGGGGATCAGAGTACATGCCGATGAGTGAGTTACCTCCTCATATCAAGCCTTCTCACTCAGAATCTGCTATAAAAAAGCAGCTCTCTGCAGATGGTGATTATATGAGTCCCAGTGAAGCCAAAACAGGTGAGTTTTTCAGATTTCTGCTCAGTAAGACTTTGAATTTTAAAGGTACATGATATGTTTTTAGTATCATGTTAATAATCTAATTTTTCTATCATTTCAGGTCCCAAACGCCATCCAACTTCATTACCTTTAGCAGAATCCCATCAATTTCATTCAACATCTGATATAAAACGCGAGGTTACAGATCATTGGTCTATTCCACCTGGTGAGTTTTCCTTTTTGATCAAAACTTTAATTTTTTCTTTTGAATTGTGGAGAAAATTAAATGGTGCTACATTGTAAGCATTATATAAGGAAATGTAATAAAATGCCATTTTTTTATTTTAGAAATTCCAGCGCATCAAAGCAAAAAGCCCGGGGATCCAGCTTTACCCCTTTCACATCAAAACAGAAGCATGTCCGAGAGTGATACTTCTCGGCCTCGTTTTGCGGGACGCATAGGTATTTCTGTTCACGTGATTATTCTCTTCGTCCTTGACCTAATTTTTTTTAATATATCTATTTTAGCTATGAAATCTCCCAAAATGCTGAGATGAAATATTTTTAATTTTTTGTATGTGTTTTGCTATATCAAGGGTCTCCTTTATCACCGAACATGCCGGAAACAGTGTTTGAGAAAGGTCACCAAGTGCTCCATCGACAAGGAAGGGACAGAAGCGCGAGTGCTTCCCGGAAGTGTAGTTCTGATGACGATATGACAATGGTAATTTGCTTTATCGTGATATATATGCACAAGACTCCCTAATTGCTATTTTTTATTTTTACAAATTTATTTTAGCAAAATGTTGCTAGTTTTTGTGCTTTATTGTCTGAGAGATGAATTAATTATCAACTTAAATATTAAAGTTGAGATTTCTTTTGATCTTGAAGAACCAGCGTCATCAGTCTAAGGGATTTTTCAGTAAGCTGAAAAATAAAATGGGAGGAGGAAGAAAAATGTCATGTCCACCAGAAGCAATTAAAGAAAGTTTAGATCAATATGTAAGTTGCACTTCAGTGGATCAGACATTGAGAATCGAAATATAATTTGTAACCCTCACTGAGACGGACACAGAGGGTCTAGATCACTTTAGCTCTGTGGAACAAATAAAGAGATCTATAACAAAAAAATTAACATATTGCACGATGGAACAAACAGATGAGTAAAGAGTTAAAATAAATTGTTAAATTAGGGTTAAATAATGAGTTTCAAAATCAATTTACTTGTTGGGGATCGGTAAAACACACCAGTATACGAAGTTCATGGTAGTTTGATGAAAAAAAAGTTCAGAATCAGCTAGTTTATTTAAATCTTGAACCATTGTTTTATCTGTATTTATAACTTCAAAAGAACGACAAAGTAATTTTTATATCTCTCGGGAAGTTTAAAAGCATTGAAGGAAGTGTACAGAAATAAAACTTTCATTATTAAATAATATCTACGGATATACCATCTGTCCATTCAAATATATAGTTTATCTTTTATAAGTACAAGAAAGTATCTAGAGCGATTAATATTTTCATCTCCCTAAGCTATTTTTTTTATTTATGTGTAGATGATAAGTATGCTATAAGAAGATGTGTTCTTCCTTGTTTTAGCATAAGAGAAATCAACAACAACTAAAGTCCAAACCCTCAGAGGAGAACAGGGACTCCAATATCAGTACTTCTAGCTCTTCCAGTAAGTAGCAATCTTACCAAGATAATTACAGTTCACCAAAGCTGTTAAAATCTAGTGGAATCTGATTTTAAGTCCAGTATTTTGAAACCAAATTATGATTTAATTTTTGGAAATGCCGATCAAGATTTCTGTTGTGGCAGCATGATTTTAAGACAAGTAAAAATCATGCTTATAACATTTGAAACAAAATTAGTTAATTGACCAAACTTTTAATTTGAAGGTCATGAAGGTCATATTCCGGATGAAAATGCTACAGGAGAGGTATTTTATTAATTTTATCAATAGTGTAGCAAAATAAATTACATGTATATTGATTTTATTGGAACTGAATATACATATAATTATAGATTGTACAAGTATTTTTCTGAGTCAGTCCACATTTTTATCTAAATGATATCAAGGAAATTCAAGTGTGGAAATTCTAAAACAAAAAAATCACTTTCCTTAGAAATCCCAGATCCTGTTAAGTAAAAAAAAATACGCACGTGACTAAAATTTGCTCTGTCTGCAGTATATGAATTATACTTACCCAGAAATATCTGTTTCCATAACTTTTGGGTAAATCACAACGTTGAAAACAAAAACCAAGTCTCAAGTGCACGTTATAATCTTTGATAAAAAAAATATAGTATAAAAGTATTTCAGATTTTTAACTGAAATTAATATCCATTGAAGGAACAGCCAGATGAACCAGTTCGTGCGAGAAAGCCTAAGAAAACACTCTTTGGAGGGAAAAATAAAGACAATAGAAACGACGTGGTAAGAAATTGACGTCATTTTTCCAATCAACAACTCATTCACTATGTTACTAGCCATTAATCGTACTGTCTTCCCCCAATAAGAAAGGGCCTATCTCTAGGCAACCTCAAATGCATTGCGGAACAGTAATGACAACCCCCCCTCCCCACTTTTTTAGAGAGAAATCTCGATCAGAGATAAGGGAAAGCCTTTATTGTCTTTTGAGAGTAGATTTTATACAAATACAGATCAGTTACCGGAAACAATTTAAAAAAATCGATCCCAGTAGGTCTTCATTTCCTCTTCCGAGGACAAATCTATTTTGAACGAATTTAGAACTTTCGGCATCATACATTTCAAGGTGTTAACCTAATACCGGAAGGAACTATAACTTACTATGCATATGTACTAGGATATTTTCCAGTAGAGTCAATGAAAAATGGAATAATACACTTTTTCTGTTCATTTCAGAGGAGGAAATCTGTGAGAATTGATAAAATGAAGAAGGACAAAAATCTACAACTGTTGGAACTTCCTACAAAAAGAAAATAGCACAAAATCGTTCTACAAATCTCAAAGTGCAATATTTTAACAAACAACATTCTGCAATTATAAAAAAAAAAGTTTTACGTCTCTTTTTATGTAATTATGCAATACATGCAGAAATCAGTCAGCTTTTTAGTATTTGTCCAATTATTTTTACATGTACATGTATTTGTAAATTTCAGTCACTCTGTCTGTTTTTGTACATATCGCATTTTTTTTTCTTTTCTACAACGCATTAACATTTGCAGTATTTCATGACAACGTACGTTTTAATGATTAATTGCATTACCCCATTTACATGTGATTTCAGTCATTTTTTTTTTTTTTAATTTTTCGGATATGTTCCAGAGTTGTAATCTGTAATAATGTGTATACTTTTATGTTTGAAAGAGTCAATGCAAATACTGCTTTAAGTGATATTTTCGCATGTGGCTTACAACACATGTGTTACTGTTATTTTAATCTAATAATAAAAATTGTTATGAAAACAATCTCATCTGTCTTTAGTTTTCCTTCTCAAAGTCGTCACAAAATTAATGAAATTAAGGAAGACTTTTTTTAAAAAAGAAGAAAAAAGGTCTATATCTAGGGTTTTCCATATGATTTTTTGGCAAATATTCACAAGTCGGAGTCCTTCACGTTAATCTGTACATGTAGAGCGGACACTTAAAGCTAAGAAGTAAATAAACAAATAACAAAAGAAGAAAGTGCCTTGTCTAGCAGGAAGTCTTGTTTAAAGACACTAGTATGTAAGATGGTGATAAACGTGTAATCATAAAGTTCTTACTCAGCCTATATGTAATTTATATTTACGTCTGGTTTTATAAAAATTTTATCCAACGAACTTGCAACTTCCTGCCTTTGTGCTGATGATGTTGATGAAGTTAAAACTAGGAAGATTACTGTTGACTAACGATTTTTTTTACTAAAGGTGTAGCAATTTCTAAAGCACATTGTCAAGTTCACAAGAATCTCACTTAATGGTAGAGGGAGGGTAATATGATGAGGGTGAAGAAAAGAATGGGAGATATAATGAAAGGGAAGAAGAGGGGGGAAAGAGGGAGAGAGAGAGAGATATTTAAAGAGAGGAGGAGAGGGAGGGAGATATAATGAGAGAGAAGAGGGTGATACTTATTTACTGAGAGAGAGGAGAGGGAGGGAGATATAATGAGAGAGGAGAAGACGGAGGATGATATAATGAGAGAAGAGGAGGGAGGAAGATATAATGAGAGAAAAGGAGGGAGGGAGATATAATGAGAGAGGAGAAGACGGAGGAAGATATAATGAGAGAAGAGGAGGGAGGAAGATATAATGAGAGAAAAGGAGGGAGGGAGATATAATGAGAGAAGAGAAGACGGAGGAAGATATAATGAGAAAGACGAAGAAGAGAGAGAAATACATGTTTACTGAGAGACAAAAAGAGGAATGGAGATATGAGAGAAGAAGAGGAAGGGAAATATGAGAGAGAGGAAGAAGGAGGGAGATATAATGAGAGAGGAGAAGAGGGAGGGAGATATAATGAGAAAGATGAAAATGGAGGGATATGTAATGAGAGAGGAGAAGAGGGAGGGAGATTTAACAAATTTTATTTCGACACCACTGATAAATGCCGAATTTTCAATAAAATGATTACAAATGGGTTTGACTCCTAAACACCAGGAAAATTTAAAAGTCATTGAACAGTTTCGTGGGTGATATGATATTAGAAACCGTTTTTTTTTTCTTTTTAAGCTGTCAATACCCTCATCAATTGGAGCATACCCAAAAATATGTGCATTTATTTATTAAAGCATGCAAAAAAGTAGAGTATCAATATATTGACCTCCTTCAAAATTTCTGATAGCTCTTGTGTGATAAATAAACAGCTATTAGATAAATAGATAAATAAACCTATAACAGACTGTCCTTTGACACCGAAATCACTCTCCATGAGTTAAATAACTATAAGATTTTAAAAATTTACAGATTCTTGTATGTAATACAATCAATTAGTGCACACGTATATGATACAATCAATTATTACTAAGTATTTTTTTAAATAAAAACCCTTGGTGTGCGGATTCTTTTTAGGAGGATTTTTTGTGAATTTTATTTTTCTCTGACCCACGTTTATCTCATTATCAAGTATTAAACTGAAAGATAGAAATGTATTTTTATATAAAGTAGTAAACTTATGTTGTTGTCTTGACTGCGAATAAGAAGGCAATGCAAATCATATTAAAGGTAATTAAACTTAAAGTAAGACAGAATGTGAACAATGAATCAGGAAGTAAACTTTAAAACTGTAAAAATGTAACTTAACATGTTCACACAGTTCAATTTAAAGATTAAACAAGAAAGTGTTTCACGTAAATGAAAAAAAAGGTAAAATTCTAACGCTAAGCGGAAGTGTTACATGTACCTGTGTGTGGTTGTTATATAGTTAAATAACATGCATTTGAAAAACGCGTTATCTAGAATCTAGTATAAAATTGCTCTCGTTATATTAAACGTCTACTTAAGTGATATATTGTCAATAAATATGATTCAATAAAATGTCTATCGAGTATATATAATAAACTTTGATAAAGCGTGTTTTAATTATATCAAGGAAATAATGACTGTGTGAAATCAATTTATTGAGGAAGGAGTGCAATGAAGCAAGGAAGGCAATTTACAGAGAGAGAAACCATTTCTTGGAAGATGGACACGAACTTCCGCTTTAATGGTTTGGTTTTTTCAGAATTTTTTGGGGTGGGTGGGTGGGTGGGGAGGGGGGTGGTGAGTAGTGGGGGGGGGGGGTTTCTATGATTTTTCTTTCAAGGGGTTATGCTTGTTCTTCTACAAGACCCCTAGCGATGAGCGATTGTTTTAATAGGCAAAACTGCATCTCCTTTCAAGAGACTAAATCTCTTTTTAAGTAGCAGAGGTTTCTGACTACCTTTTTTTGATTCAAGACTTATTATTAGCTAAAGGTGGCAGATTTTTGTAAATGGTTCTTACTAATGTTAAAAATGACCAGTGTTAATATTACATGTATAACTGGCAGTTTTTATACCACTAATAGTTGATGGACATGGTCTATATAGATTTATTAACAATAGCGATAAAGGAGATGGACGAACAAGGAGTGCAAAATGCCTATAATAGCTTCAAATGTATTAAAGTCATATTCAATTCGCGAATTTAGCATTTAGATGAAAAATCTTATAATTGAAAGGTATGAAATAATGACAAACAAAACTTTTCTGTGGAAAATTCTTTCGTCAGAAATTGTTCATGATTTAAAAAAATGTGGTATTCTTGGGGGTTCAAACTCAAGCCATAAAACCCTTAATATTAATTTTCGCTTCAAGACTAACACCGCTGTACCGCTAATAACGAATACCAGCATCCAAATAATGTTTGTGACATGACCCTTGACTAAATGGACTTCAATTTTATTCTCGGAAAAATACAGATGATGTGTCATAAAACTGTATTTTGAGGTATAACTAGGTCTTTGTTCCATTTTGTTAATCAAAGAACGTATATTTTTACGCATACTTGGTGTATAATCCCCCCCCCCCCAAATAAAAATGGAGCGAAGACTCACGCATATGGAAAAATTTTTAGTAATAAGGATTGATTATTTTTGTTAGCCCTGTTCACCCATCTTCTTTAAATTTCAAGTTAAACGCTGGTCCTTATAGAGTCGATTTGTTGAACACAGTGGGTTTTTTTAAAATTAATTTTCTCTCTGCTAGAGCCTAACTTTGTTCTGAATTTAAAGTGCGTATAATGAAGAAGAAAGAATTCCAACTACGAAACATGCCATGTAAACCACTTGCAGTATAATTAGCCGAATTTACATCCTGAATCAAAGCGCCATTTCTTTCTTTCAGAAAATAAAATTCACGTGAGAAATAATTAATTGTTACTCATACATGTGTGATGTCCTTCAATCTTAATACGATCAATTATCTAAATTTTGCAACGTGTACTCAGCAGACACTGACAAATAAAAATAAAATTATGTGTGCAGAGGACAACAAACAAATGACAAGGAATTAAGACAGTAGATTAATTACTCGCTTACATACTAGGGTCTAGACAACACCTGACAACGTTTAATTGCTGTCACAATTTCAAATGAACTTTTTTAAAGTAATTATTTTTTCTTTTATTTGACTTTGTAATGGCTTAGAAATAAGATAAAATTGTGTAAAACTTCACTATTTCTAGACATTGATTATAGATCACATTCGTAAGTAGAATTTGTTACTCAAAGGTTATTAGGCAAAAATTTCATATCGTATTTAGATATCTTTAGAGATATAAAGATAGAACATTGATTTCCTTTATATAGCAATGGCTACGTCTATAAGAAGGGAATGGGGATTAAGGAGGAGATTCTTTTTTGACGAATGACAGCCAGGAGCTGATCTTTATGCTACAATACACTGCCTTTGTACATAAAATCTTGCATTAGATCCCCAGGATACACATGTATTGACACAACAAAGTCATCAAATTTATTTTTTGCACAAACAGTAAACAACTTGAAACAATTCACGTATAACAACTTTTGCGGAAAGAACACTAATCTACTACTCGGAAAGTAGATGGATAAAATTGCTTCCTGAAAGAGATAAAAACGGACTCTTAAATGATGAAAGGATTACAATAAAAAAAATCAATAACAATTTTAAAACGATAGGGAAGAAATGACTATATGAATTTGGTGTCAATATGGTACAGTCCCGGATAGATTATATTTTTACCTTTATTTGCATGGTTCGGTTTTTCGGGAAGTAAAGCTAATCAAAGATCAATTACACGTATATTTTCACTATTCTAAATTGATAATTATAAGTTGATATAAATAAGGAAAAAATTCTTAAGTGTGATTATTATCAAACAGTTGTGCACTAATTCAAGAACTCTGCCCTAAATTTGAGAACACTTTAATCTTCAAATACAACATTTTCGATATTTTTTCCACATAAATTTCCGAGAAAAATGTGTCTGAAATAAAGAACAGTACTATTTTTTCAACACCTGTGCCAACAAATCAACATATAACTAAATTAGTTTTCCTCGAAAAAATATTCGTATAGATATATGTAACTGAGAACAACAGAAATGTCTAGTTCAATTAAAGATACACACCGATTATAAATGTAATGTGCACATGTAGACTCTGTTCAAAAAAGGAAAACGAATCAATTGTGTTGAACGTGCACCGATTAAAACGTTCACTTATATATGCACGTTATTTCCTGTAATTTTCTTTTAATGAATGGATATAAATATCTTCTACTTTCCTAATAGGTGCACGAAATACACCCAATGAGGAAACCTCAAGGAAAAAAATTAACGAATCTCACGCTTGTGCTTGGTAACACCCAATGTTATTATATGTGATTTTCGAAAATCAATTCGGGTCAGCCTGGCTAGATGTAAACAATATGGCAGAGCATACAGATGTATATCAAATCAATGTAAATACACACTGCAATACTGCAATATT